AATATCCCAAGAAAACAACCCTCAATTGAGTGTAGTATCGAGTATCAACCGACTTCGGAGTACACCAAAGTAGTCATCTCACTACCCTAAAGAGGCCAAGATGGTTCAATTAAGGTTCCTAAGGTCTGTTGATGCTTCACGACACCACATGGAGGCCCCGTACTCTCCTTGATTGACTCAAGGGTTACCGGTACACACCAAAGTGCCACATCAACGTAGCAGACTGCTTCAACCATGTCGGTATACCCCGCACAGTTCCCTCACAGCCTTGTTGCTACTTTCTAAGAAGGTATCCCCAGATCCGGGTTAGGATCTATAGAACTCCCAAGCAACCCACAATTTAAAGCACACAAGGAAAACAATTGAAAACACAGTTATGAACTATCCCTAAGGTACACCTCACTTTATAAAGATATCCCCAGCAGAGTCGCCAGTTCTGTGATCGGTGGATCTGGAACTGACTGTTTTTAAGCTGGTTCGCGAAATGTCGCGGAAGCAAGAGTCGCCACCGTCTTTTATTTTCTCCAAATGGAAAGGACAAAAGCACAGAAAAATTCCTTAAAGAGATGTCTCTCGGTTCGGGAGGTAGATTATAGAAAGGGAAGGTGTTAGCACCCTTTCTATCCATGGTTATCCATGGGCTCTTAGATACTTGCTCATTTGTGTTTTCAAAATTTGTTTTCTTTTCAAAGTGTGAGTGGGTTTGAAAAAGTTTCATTTAAAGTTTCAGATCGACTCTTGTATCAGTCCTCAAGAGTGTTTGAAAAGTTGTTTTGAAAGCTTTTTGAAAAGTGTAAGGTGTGAAAAGTATTTTGATTTGTTTTTGAAAGGAGCAAGTATCCATGAGTCATTTACCTACCCTAAGGAATAAAGCTGTGTAATTGTCCTTTAGGTAGTGCCATCCCACCATTGAGAGGTAGGTAGCACCACCGTTGGAGGTGTTTGGGTCAATTCGAGGTTCGGGACATGGTGATCACCAGAGCAATGGGAAGACACCTTAGAAGCTACCCTCATGCCAGGTTCCCGGATCATGAGGACTTACTAAGACATCCTCTACTCGACGATCACCTTTCGAGGGGCAAGGCAACAGTGAAGCGTACCCTAGGGGTGGTGTGTGAATTGTGTGTCATTTTCAGTTTATTGTTTGTCTTGTCATGCATTTGTGATCTACGCTTTGATTTTATTTTTGGGCATTCATTCTTTCATGTTATTGTTTAACAGTTAAAGGTGCGGGAATTTAAAGTGCGGAAAAGATAAAAGGTCCTACGCTATTACAAAGGCGCGGGTCTACAACGCCAAATTAATCCAGACCCGATTTAAAATAAAGTATAGAAAATAAATGCCTAATTAACTATTACAGGGCTTTGGAACAAGTACATTATATTCACAAAAGAAATAAATAAAATGCGCGAACAAAAACATAATCGAATGCGAGGGCGTTGAACCCTTTGAAGGAATTTAAAATAATTAAGTTAAAATAATTAAATTAAATAAAAAGGAAGAACTTATTTTTTTATGTTTTTGTATTTATGACATTAAATTAATTAAAAGTCAAATAATTAATTCTAATTCTAATTGTTTTTTAATTTATTAAAGAAAATGCATTAAGGTTAAAACCTAGAATTAAAACTAAATTAATTATAAATTTATTTACAAAATTAATGGTTGATGATAAAATATTTAATTAATTAAAAAAAAAAGGGTAAAAAAGTGTTAAAGATCTATTTTTATTATTTTTGGTTTATTGTGAAATAAAGAATTAAATTACAACATAAAATTAAATCTAAATTAATTATGGGATTTATTTATGAAATTAATACTAAAAATAAAATATTTATTATTTTTATCTTTTCTGATTTTTTGTGTTTTTTATATTTTGAAAATATTAATTAATTAAAAGAAAACAACAATTAAAAGAATATAAAAATAATAAAAAAAAGAATAAAGAAAAGAAAGAAAATTGCAAAAAAAACCTAAGGGGGTGAAGCCCCTAATTTGGAGGTTGGCCTCAGCAATTTCTGGCCCATTACTGAAGCCTTGCTTGACTTTTTCAGGCCACGTGTGGTAGCTTTGACTAGGACCCATCATGGTCTTCAGATCTGAGCCTTTGATTTGATCTCCCTGGCCTTGTGAATGGTTTGATGTTGAGAGCGCATGATGTGCCTTGATGCTGATCCTGCATGGAATCACTAAACACAAAATAATATGAAGAGAGTGAAAACCTGGGATCGAACCCAGGTCCTCTTGGTTATCCACCTACACGCCTACCAACTGTGCCAAGTTGTTTCTTTGTAAGTTAAATAACAAACAAAATTTATAAACAAAATAACGCGTTAGTGTTGTAAAAATAAAAAAATGCGCGCTGGATTCAAACCAGCCAATCACAGCATGACAAACAATCGTCTTCCCCAATGTTTTATTTTCCTGAAAATGTCAAAGCATTGGCAACGGTTTTTACACCGTTTCAGAAAAGGCCCTTACAAAAAATAGCGATTAGAGCTCAGACGCTCATAAATTGAGCGCGAGGCATGGAAACCACTGGCCATGAGCTGCTGATTCTGATGATATGGATCTTAGAGGTCAATTTTTCCAGGACAAAGAGACCCTCTTTTTGAACCTCTGAAAACCTAGAATGTGTTAATGGCAAATTCTTGTATGATGCACGAAAACAAAATTGAAACGTTAGATTAGCATTAGAATTGAATAAGGAACACAAATCATATATCAAAACTGATTGAATGTGCATGAATTGAGATGTAAGAGCTTTGAATTTTTCATGCACAGGGTGAGGTCGTTCTTAACGTTTCAGGGGATGGAAGCTTGTGATTTTGATCCCAATGTGTTGCTTGATGTCCCAGGAATGTGATAGAACACGTCTCTTTGCTTGAATCAATCTCTACCCTCGTTTTCAGATTTGAGTTTTTTTGTTAAAAATGTGAGTTTGCTCTCAAGGTTCCTGCGCAGCTTCTGTCCAATTTTTGTTGTGTATCAACTGTATATACCCTAGGCAATGTGTTTGGATGAGAGTTATGGCCAATAATGCCTTGCATTGATGTTTTGGATTTTCACATAAACCTCCATTATCACACCTTCCATTTTTGCCTTATTTTTGAATTCTTGCCTTATTTGCCTCCTTACACGAATTTGGTATAGGCTTAATGATGTTTCAAGGCTAGTTAAGGCCAAATATTTCATTTAATCAAACTTTTTGATTTTTCCTTGATTTTAAAAGATTTAAACTTAATTAAATCCAAGAAAATCAATAAAAATGAAAAAATTAATTAAGAAATATGAAATAAAAGGTGGGACACGTGGGAAGCATGGCCAAGTCAATTCAAGTGGAAAAAGTGGGCCCCTTTTGTCAAAAAATGAGATTTCAAGGATAAATGATTTTGGCCATTTCACAAAAATTTCCCAACTTCTCCAATGCATAACTTGCTCAATTTTTAAGATTTGCTCATGTTCTTGGACATTTTGGAAAGGTCTTTGAGTCCTCTAACCAATGTCCTTGGTCCCATGTCATTTTGATTTACCAATCTCAAGTTATGGCCTTTGACTTAAAGTCACTTTTTGTTGACTTTTGAAAATGACCTATAATGTTGAAATTGATAACTTTTTGTGAGAGCATTTCTTGGACTTGGAGTGTGAAGATGAGTTGTAGGAAATGTCTCCCCCTTCAAGATGAGAATTGGATGGGATTTTTCTGATGAACCATGAAAAAGTTATGCCTTGGTCAATTTCAGTTGACTTTTTTCAGCTGTCCAAATATAGAAACTTTTGCATCTTGATGATTTTTGAGCCAAGTTTTTGAGAATCATGATCAAGCATTGATCAAATGATGTTTGTGGCTTCAAAATGAGATGTTGACCAAAAATTTGAACTTTTGACTGCCAAATGACCATTTTGCCCCTACAGTTGACTGTAGTGCAATTAGGGTTTTTGACTGTGCAATTTTATGCTGTAAGTCTTGAAACTTGGTATGAGGATGCTTGACCATATTTGTAGACATGTGAGACTTGATTGGGCCCTTGGAAACCTCATTCTCTTGATCAGAATAATAACCCTAATTTTGACTGCTTAGGAGGCCCTTGACTGTGCAACCCTTGGGGAATTTTGAAGCTTGACTTGGCATTTTCTTGAAGAATATGGGAGGGCAAATTTTGGGGTACAACAATAAGAAAACTCATTATAGGTATATACATGGATTAACCACGTGAAAATGGACAAAGGATTCAAATGAGGGCTTAATTGTTTCTTTTAATATATTTTTCAATGTTAGTTAAGTTCAAGTAATTTTATAATTAATATCACAACCAATTCAATCGCGCTACGCGCACCCCAACAGAGTGAACCATGTGATTTACTTAGATCTTATAAATTTGTAATGATGAACTTCTTATAGTTATGAAACTAATATTTTGTGTTTAATATTTTTTCCTATCTACAAAATGGGGGGATTGATCTAGATAACAATTGAAAAAATAAATGTAGATTTTTCTATTGGAATTAAATAATGTTGGAAGGTTGTTTATGATCACTAGACATAGGGTATACTCGTCAATGACTGGTTATTTTATATTCAATCAAACTTCTATTGGTTGTGACTTCGCCCAAGACATTGGGGATTGTAATAAGACGAAAAGTTTCTTATCGAGACATTGAGCGCAACTATTTTGTAAAATAGTCGTGATATGAGAAGACTCATTATAGGTCCAGACATGGATTAACCACGTGAAAAAGGACAAATGATTCGTATGGGGGCTTAATTGTTTCCCTTTAATGGATTTTTTCAATGCTAGTTTAGTTCAAGTAATTTTACAATTAATATCACAACCAA